CCTGACCCACGGAGCTAAAGCACGTCAAAGAAACCTTGGCGGACATACGACCCAACACTCAACATCTTTCAGACACAGAAAATGAGGTCCCAACAGCCTCTGTTTGACTCCGGGGCACCTCCTAGAAACTCATGGACGAAATGCCTACGTTTGGGGCTTTGGATTCAAAGCCAGCCATAAGCAGAGGAAGGCAGGCTGGGAGACAGATGAGGAGGGATTCAAACTGATCTGCTCCTTCACCCCCAAAAGGCCTCTGTCTTTGTAAAATGAACAGGCTGGACAGATGTTCCCTAAACCCCTGACGGCCATGGGTTTGGGGGGGGCGGTAAGAAGCTGGAGAGGGGTGGGGGGCCAAGGGAGAGCTCTAGGAGGACTCATCTGTCAATTTTATCCATAGGGCTCTGCGGCAACTGGCTTTCTAGATCTTAAGCACATCAGTGTGATGGATAGTCTTGGGACCCAGATTACATTATGGGGTTAATTTTTTACATTTTTGAATACCCATTTGCTGGGAGACTGTTTTTCAAAGTTATTTGCATATTTTTCATCATAATGACAATATGTAGAAGGGCATCTGGGAGGAAAGGATGGATGTTTAGGAGGAGGGAGCTTATTTGCCAACTGGAGCAGGTCCCTGAGGGTCTGCAATGAGGACAGAAAGAAAATCATTCTCAAGAGACATCGATATTGAAACCAAGAGAAGGCAAGGTGTAACAAAGTCTTGCAATGACCAAGGCCTTCAGGGGCAAAGGAAGATTCCTGGGGTCCCCCTGAACAGACACGCAACGAGTGAACTGGTTATAACAACGGGCACTGGAGTGTCCAGACCCCTGAGATGCTTCCAAAGTCCTCCCAGACTGAGAGACTCAACATTCTTCCCATCCCTGCCTAAGATTCCTAAAATGCCAAACACAGGAGTGGGCGGGGGGGGGGGGGCAGTCACAGAGAGTCAGCCACATATAGTTTGGTGACAATCCCACTGGTCCCCGTTGCTCAAGGACCATTCCAGTTAGAACACCCCTTGAGGGGCGCCTGGGTGGCTCAGGGGGTTAAGCTTCTGCCTTCTGCTCAGGTCATGATCTCAGGGTCCTGGGATGGAGCCCCGAGCCCCGCAGGGAGCCTGCTTCCCCCCACCCCTCTCTCTCTGTCTGCTGCTCTGTCTACTTGTGATCTCTCTCTCTGTCATATAAATAAAAATAAAAAGAACACCCTCTGAGCAGAGACCCAGCCCTGTTCATTCTTTTGGTCCAGCACCTAACCCAAGGCCTGGCCATACCCAGGTTCTCAGTGAGGGCATGCAAATGAATTAATAAAAGACAGGAGAGAGGAAGCCATGGTGCACAGTGACTCATTACCACTTGCCCCACTTGAACCCTAACTTATTCTGGATGAGAACAAACCCGTGGCTTCCACACCTGCACTACGGGTGGCCACGTTCAGGGAAGAGCGGCTTTCAAAAATGAAGCAAGAGCTGGGGGGCCACTATGTGCCCCTCCCCTCACCCACCAGGCTGCTCCTGGGCCTAACGCACTGCTCCCCTCCCCACCACTGGTCCTTAGTCAGCTGTAAGGCCCTTCCCTTTCTGAATTGCAGGTTCTTCATCTGTAAAATGGGATAATGGTAGCACCAGTTCCATAGAGCTGGGGGGGGGCGGGGGGCGGAAAACAAGTGAGATGTTTGTAAAAATGTGAAGTCCACAATATCTGGCCCATACATTCTCAATTGGTGCTGTTATGACAATGAGATTAAGATCTACACGTACTGGGGCACCTTGGTGGCTCAGTGGTTTAAAGCCTCTGTCTTTGGCTCAGGTCATGATCCCAGAATCCTGGGATGGAACCCAGCATCCAGCTCTCTGCTCAGCAGGGAGCCTGCTTCCCCCTCTCTCTCTCTGCCTGCCTCTCTGCCTACTTGTGATTTCTGTCAAATAAATAAATAAAATCTTAAAAAAAAAAATATCTACACGCACTATCCAAGCCCCTAGAGCAAGCACTCTGTCACCAGCCACCATGCTTTTCAGAACCTGATCTAAAACACCCTCGGCTGCATCCCCTTCCCCATTTCCAAAAAGGCAGCCCCCAAGGTGCCTTCCGGGAGGACCTGCATCCCCATGGCCAAGATGCGTGAAGACAAGGGACTGTGACCCGCACTCAGCTCCTCCCCTCCCTGATCTGGCCTTCTGAGATGAGGCCTCACTAACATAGCTCCCCAGATCCTCTGCTGACCTCAGACCCAAGCCGGGGCCCTGACCTTAGGTCTGCGACACGGGGGGCTTCCAGCACCTCGGCCAGGGCAGAGTAAACACATGCCATCCCCTCCCTGGTGTTCTGCTGACTCCCCAGCATCACTGACCCCTTGTTCATCAGAAGGACCTTACAAATCATCTCTTCTTAGACTTAGAACCTCCACCCAGAGACACAAAATGTCTTGCACAAGTTCAGGGTTCCTGGGTCTCTGAAGTCATCTCGGACCACAGGGTAAGAACCCTTGATCTGGGTCAACTGCCACTTTAAAAAAAACAAAAACAAAAAAAAAAAAACGCTTCACTGAGATGTAGTTCACGAACCATGAAGTTCTCCCTTTAAAGTATGCAATTTAGGGGCGCCTGGGTGGCTCAGTCGGTGAAGCATCTGCCTTCGGCTCAGGTCATGATCCCAGGGTTCTGGGATGGAGCCCCGCATCAGGCTCCCGGTTCAGTGGGGAGCCTGCTTCTCCCTCTGCCTCTGTCTTCTGCTCCCCCCTGCTTCTGCGCTCATTCTCTCTCTCTCTCTCTGACAAAGAAATAAATAAAATCTTTAAAGCATGCAATTTAGTGGGTTTTAGTAAGCTGTACGGCAATCAGCACTAATTCCAGAACATTTTCATCCCTCCAAAAAGAAAAACCCCCACACACAGTAGCGGTCAAGCCCCACCCCCATCTCCCCTTCTGCCAGCCCCAGGCAACCCCTAGACTACTTTCTGTCTCAATGGGCTTGCCTATTTTGAACATTTCATATAAATCCTACAATAGGTGGCCTTTTATATCTGGCTTGTTTCACTTCCATGATGTTTTCAGGATTCATCCACACGGTGGCATGTATTTCATTCCTTTTTATGGCCTAATAATATTCCATTGTATGAACCCCTCCCCTCCCCCCCACCTCCCCACCCCCGCAGATTTTCTTCATCCTTTCATCAGTCAATGGATATTTGAGTGGTTTCCACTTTGGCCATACAACTCTGGGGAAACTGAGGCTCAAAGTCACCATAACCACAATGGGATAGGAGTCCAGGCCTCTCCTAACATCTGTCTCCCAATACATCACTCTGGGACAACCCAGAGGACAGAGAGCATGGCAGAAGATCACCCCATTGGTGAACAGCCAGAGGAGCAGCCTTTGAACCACAGTCCCAGGGGATACCGCCAGAGTTTCATTCCTGAAAAGGAGAATCACGCCCACAGAGGCCCCTCCCATCCCAGCCCCCATCACCTCTTCCCAGCTGACAGTTCCTCACTGTCTGCCCACTTTTGTCCTTGCCCTCCTGCGGTCTACTCCCAACTTTAGGAATTGGAGTGAACTCCTTAAACACTATCAGGTCATGGCTCCACTCTGCCTAGAACCCAGCCCATCCTGGTGCCCACTGGGCTGATTATATTACAATAACAAGATCACTTAATTTTTCTAGAGCATTTCCCCATGAGGCCAGGATCTTAGCAACATTATTTCCTTACAAAGGTCATCGCACTTAATTCTTGAACTCTAAGAGTTAGGGATGATGATGAGCTCAGAGAGGTTAGGCGCCTTGCCCAAGGTGACCAGGAATGGCGTCCGCAGATAAGCCCAGGCATCTGGCCTGACCACAGAACGGAGCTCCTAAACCTCTGAGCCGTAACTGCCACATTCTGGAGGAGGAGGAAAACAGTCGAAAAGGAAGCCACTGGGTGAGCTCCGGGCGCCAGGCAAGACTGCAGCGTCTCGCGCGCCGGAGTCCCGCCCTACTGCTCTTTGATCCTCGCCGTGCCTGTGGCCCCACTGACCCCGCCGTGAGTTATGGGGGCCACGGGACTAATAACACAGCATTCCCGGACTCCCAGGGTCGTCGGGACGCGGCGCCCCGCGCGGTGATGGATGAGCCGCCTCTGGGGCTGGCTTTGTCCCGGCTGGGCTGGGCTGGGGAGCATCAGACGTACTTTGGACAGGGCGTGGCTAGAGGAAGACTCTGTGCGTGTGTGTGTGTGTGTGTGTGTGTGTGTGTGTGTGTGTGTGTGTTGGGTAGAATTGTATTTCTACCTTCCCTCCCGGGGCTGGGGCGTGCGGCCGTCACGCCCGGGATTCTCACCTGGTAACGTTTGAAGATCCCCCTATACCCCACACTGAAGAGCGACCTCTCCCAGAACCCCGCCCCCCGCTCCGCGCACTTTCCGAGGCTACAAAGGCCCTGCGGTGCCCCGTCCCGCCTTCCTCGCACCCGGCATTTCTTCCATCCCATTTGACAGCCTGGGCGGAATAATCCTTTTGGGGACTGGCCGGCCCCTGCCCAGCCAGCCGCGGCCGCAGCTGAGAGCACAGCTCCGATCCATTGTTGGGGTCCGCCAGGGACCCCCTGCCGCGACCCTTTGTCGCCCGCTCCCGGCGGGTCCGTTCCAGATGCGCCACCGCTGCCCGCGCCCCGCCCGTCCCACGCGCTCCGGGCAGCGCCGAAGCGGCTCTTACGCACCGGGAGGAGTGGGCCCGCCTCGCCCGGTGCCCGCACGGCCGCCCGACTGCGCCCGCCTTTGTCTGCCTCCTTTGTCTGCCCCGCGCCCTCGCGGCGGCGGCCGCCGCTAGGCCTCTGGGGAGCTGGCCCCGAAAGCCGAGCGCAGCTGGCGAGGGCGCGCTGGCCGGGAGCGCGCGGGACCCGGCCGGGCCTGGGGCTGCCCCTCAGCAGGGGGCTAGCCTTGCCCGCTCCAGCCGCCCCTCCCCCGCACCCCTCCCCGCGCGCCCGCCCCCTTCCCGCGCTCCCGCCCCCTCCCCTTTCCTCCAGCCCCACTCAGCCTGGGCATATCCTCCTGCCGCCCGCGCACCTCTCCGTGCGGTCCACGCTTCGCGGCTTGGCCCTCCGCTGCGCTCGGCTCCCGCAGGAGCTCGGCCCCGCGCCCCTCGGCCCCCGCCCCGCCGGCCGGACAGGTAAGGCCTGGCCTTGGGCCCGCCCCTGGCCCCGCCCTCCCGCCTCACCTGGTAGCGGGCCGGGACAAAGGTGGGCTACCTGGTGCGCTTAGGGGCGGGGCGCGCGGGGGTCTGTGGCCAGAGGTGAGGATCCCGCTTTCTGCCCTGGCCGCCCCGCCTTCGGAGCCGTGGGTCCGTGTGTCCGCCGCCTCCGCTCCTCGCCGCGTCTCGGCTGAGCTCCAGGCTCTGCTCCCGGTTCTCCGCTTCAGCCCACCTTCCCGCCGGACGCTCACTTTTCTAAGCTCTGACTCTCTGCCTCGCGCGCGCCCTCGCCGCCCTCTCTGGGTCTCGGCATCCGCCCGCTCTCCTCCTCGCTTTCTCCCTCTGGGACCGCGTCTCTCTTTGTCTCTCTGTCTCTGAGTCTCTGGGTGGTCTCCAAGGCCGGAGAGTAGACTGGGGAGTCCACCACCGTTCGAAGAAGCTTCGAAAACTCCCTGAGCCCTGGACAGAGCTGGCAGGCGTGTCCTCCTGGCCCTTTTGAGGCTGCCGGGACGGGCTGGGGGGCGGCTAAAGTATTTCTGGGAGAGGAGGTTCTGGGTGCGCCCCTACCGGTACTGCTGGTGGCCCCGCGCCTGGGCCGGTTCCGCGCGGTAGCAACCCCGACAGCCCCGGCTCAGGCCCGCTTCCTGCCCACTGGCTTTTTTCTGTTCGCGCACCTGGGTCTCAGCCGCCTGCTGGAGCCAGGAGCCCAGATTTGAGACCAGGGGGCTCTTGGGTTTCCCGCCAAGTCTTCTTGCTTTCCTCCACTGGGTGTTTCCTTGGCCTTGGCCTCCGTCTGGTCTCCTGCCTGGCACACTTCACGCTGTCCTCCTCCCGGCCTGTGTGGCACGCTGAAGTGTCCCGGGACGGGGTCAGCACCATCCCTCTGTGATCCAGGAGACAGAGGCCCTGGGAGTGATCTTGGACAAAGGAACGCATGTCGCTGAGCCTCAGTGTCCCCTTCATAAAACGGGGATAATAGTACCTACCTACAGGGACGTATGTTGGAACAGTAAAAAAGAGCAGATTGTATGCCAGCTTGCTTGGGGGTCCTGGGAGAGGCCTCAGTCCCTGGCTGGGATGGGAATGGGGGCGCCACAGCAAGGAGGAAATGGACCACCAATTCCAGCCTTAGAGATGCTGCAGAGAAATGGGACTGTGGCCCTTTCCCGCATGGAGGTCACAGTTGCAGCCCGGGGCCATTACAGTGTTCCCGCTCTCATAGGCACTGCCCTCTCTTCTCAATCCTCCTCTCCACCTGTCCTAAAATCAGTTTAAAAATCAGGGTGAAAAGGGTCTCTGCTTCCCAAATGAGATGAGTGTCGCTGTGTCAATGTTGCCAACAGCTGGTCATTCATCATGAGGCATCCGTGTGACTCATTCCCAATTCTGAATCTCTGCCTTGCACTGATTTCTTTTTTAATGGCCCTGGCTCACAAGCCATTTCCTTTCCTCTGGGGGCATTGTCTTGCTGTATCCTGGACCTGCTGTGTAATTGCCCAGAGCCTCTGACCATTATAGCAATCCTGTCCTCCTAACAGGTGACACACACGCAACACCCCCACCCCCAGGAGTCCAGCAGGGACAAGGGCCAAGTAGTTTCATGAGGGTCACTTCAGCGGAGGGAAACCTTCTCCCAGCCAGCAAGTTCTAGGCTTCCTTGGCTAAGTGCTGGTTTTCAGCCCCAGCCAGAGCTGGCAACCTGAGCCTTTCTCTTTAGAGAGGCAAGGGAAGGACTAGGGGCACAGGCGCACCCCATCCAGCCTCCGGCTCATGCTCCTGCGTGGCAGATGGGTCCATCTTTGCAAGCCGGGACCCTCCTGCCATGTCTGCCTCCTCTGGCCATAGCCTTCCTCAGGAAAGCCAGCTCAGCAGCCCCTGCAATCCTGCAGAAATCTCCTCCAAGCCGCCTTGCCCCTCACCCACTTTCTCTGCGTCCTCCTCACTGCTCAATCCACCCCCCCTCCCCAGCCCTAAATCCTGTAAATGCTCCCTGTTACACTCAGTTAAGGACTCTACCTGCCTCCCACAATACTCTCGTTTGCATCTTGGGTTTCAGCCACTGCGGAGGGCTGAGCATCTCCAGGCTGACTTCCTGCATCTCCAGGCTGACTTCCTCGGAGCTTTTGCTAGGGCTCTTCCCTCCATCTGGAATGTCTCTCCTGCCCTGCATTCAGTCGAAGGCTGCCCTCCTTGCAGGCCAAGGTTAGCTGTCCCTTCTCATGGGAAGCCCTCCTGCTCCCCACTTGCCTCCCTGTCTCTCTTGGGGTCTGCCCTTCCCTGGGGCAGGGCTGGGTCCTATTTCGTTTGTGGTCCCAGTACACAGAGTAGGTGCCCTGGGCACACGTGTTCTATCAGCTGGAACTCTGGTCACGGGGTTAGGAGTGAACTGAGAATTGCAAGCCACAGGTTATCCAGGGTTGGCCCTGGAGCAAAGGACCATAGCCAGGAAGGTTGGCGGGGGAGCAAGCCACCTGGGTACCAGGGGAAAATCCCTCTGGTACCAGGGGCTCTTCATCCTTCTGGAGGATGAGGATGATTTTGGTGCCTGGTTATAGACAGGGGAGTGATCGCCCAAGCCCCACAGAATGGGTTTAAATCCCTGCTGTTGGCCTCCTCACCATTTGACCTGGAAAGAGTTGCTCCACCTGGTTCAGGCAGAAATGTGGGGAAGCGGGAATTTGCATGCTGGCCTCCCTGATTCTACAGCCTGGAGAGAACAGGAGCTCCCTCCAGAGAGGGGTCCTGGGCATGTTCCCAAGGGTGGGTGACATGCGAGCATCCTTATTCTGTCCTTTTCAGGTGACACCTGCCTCCCTTGTTGCCCCAGCCCCTCTGACCGTCTTCGGCCAGCCCTTCCTCTTGAGTGGGCCGTTTGGCCACCAGAGCACGGGCCTTCTGCAGGAAGGACATGGGAGGGCAGCTGAACCCTTGCCGCTAGAGGCCCTGCCCCTCACCCCTGCCAGGTCCCAGCTTTGGCCACTCTCTGTACCACAGCGCCATGGTCTGGCACTGACTATCTGGTACACATCACCGGACTGGGGGAGGGGGATGGACAAGGCCCCTGCTGGAATCCAGACCTGTTTAGATGGAGTCATTGCAGAAAATACAAGTTTTTTGAGGCTCTCTCTGTGCCAGGCTCTGGCTTACGGCCCCCCACATGCACCATTCTTGAGAGTCCCAGCACCCACATTGGTATGGGTCCCTGAGGGTAGCATGAAGAGTGGCCAAAGACCCTGCCTTTGGGGTCAGATAACCATGAGTTCAAGTCCCAGCTCTACCACTTTCTCTACCGTGTGATCTTGGGCAAGTCCCACAAAGCTTTGCCCTGATACTGAGTCCTTTTCGCCCACTTCAAAGGGCTGAATTGGATAATGGGCATAAAGCTCTGGGCCCTGATTAGTACATGGCCCATATAGGATGCTCAAGCAAAACATTCCTCTTTCACATGTGGGACTGAAGCCCAGAAAGGTTAATTGCCTTGCCCAGGGTCACTCAGCTATAAAGTGCCGGTGCCAGGATTCATCCCCAGGCCTGCCTGACACCAGGTGTCTTCCCACTCCACGCTGGCCTCTGCCAGAGCCAACAGCAAGCATTTTGTCACTTGATGATTAAGTGGTGGGTCTGCCCAGACAGCAAAGTGGTGTTAAATTGTCTGGGTACCAAGATAATGAAGTTTGGGGAAGAGGGGGGCCAGGGGATTGCTTGGTGGTGGTGGGGGTAGTGGTAGCTACATATAATGTAGCAGGAGGCAGGATTTGGACTCAGGAGGTGGGCGTGGGACACTGGGAGCCTCTGGGAGGGGGGCTCCTCAGCCCCCCAACTCAACACCCTTATGTAGGTTTTTTGAGGTGTGAGGCCTTAGGGGGGTTGCCAATTCCCAAGGTTAGGGTTGGAAACAATGTAAACAGATGGGGCCGCCCCTGTGGGGAAGCCAAACCTCATTTACCAAGACAATGGTCCTGTCCAGGCAGGCCGGGGCCTGTCCTGCCCCACCCCACGGAAACCATCGATCACCCCACTGAGGACTGAGGACATGGCCACCTGCGCTTGCCCCCCTACACACACAGGCACAGATGCAGAAATGCTTCCAGGACCAACCCCACTCCCCCGCCTCCACTGGCCACCCACTCCCTCTCTCCCTTTCCCTGTGAAAACCAGGGCTGCTGCTTATTTCGCCCTTACTGGGGACTGCTCACTTTATATACCTTTACATCTCCTCCTCCTTACAAGGCCTGGCATTTTACAGAAGAAACTGAGGCTCAGAGAGGTTCGTTGACTTGCCCAAGGTCACACAGCTCTTCCCGCTCCACTCCATGGACCCCTCCCATGGCTCCGCTTCATGGATTTATGCTGCCCTCTGTGTTTGAATCAGTGCTAGTTATGTCTGGGCCTTGATCTGTCTTTTTTTTTTTTTTTTTTGAGAAAGAGAATGAGAGAGAGAGAGAGTGCGCATGAGAAGGGGTAGGGTCAGAGGGAGAAGCAGACTCCACGCGGAGCGGGGATCCTGGTGGGGGACTCGATCCCAGGATTCCAGGGTCATGACCTGCTCTGAAGGCAGTTGCTTAACCAACTGAACCGCCTAGGGCCCCTAAGGCCTTGCTCTTTCATTAGACCTGCAGCCTCTCCACCTGGTCAGAGTGGGGACGCCTGGAGCACAGGGGACTGTGTCTTTGCCCGTAGACTAAAAACCCCCTCCAGCAAAGGATATGTTTCCCCGTGTTCTGGGAACTTCCAAGGCCCAATCTGGAGCTCTCCTATCAGGTTGGGAAACCCCTAAGGGCATCACTGGATCTGCCCCTTTAGACGGCAGGTTTCCTTGGGTCCAGGGCTGAGGGTTCCCTGTGGGCAGGAGCGGTGTCTCTCTTATCAGCCTAGGAGTCCTCCCTCCTAGTCTTCCAAGGCAAGACGTGAATCTTCCCCATCACACTGGGAGCTCCCTAGGGCCCGACCTAGTGTCCCCACTCAGACCGGCAATTATC